ATCAAATACAGAGCAGTCAGAGAAATGGAATCATTCCTGTGAGGAATAGAGGAAGCTGAAACACCAGCACAAGCTTCAGGGTCAGCTGAAGACACCTTGTCATAAGTTTTGGAAGTTATAGCTCATTTAAAGGCAACATATGTTTTGTTGTATGTTACATTTATGCTCAACAGATCTTAAGCTTTCATTTTATTTACTAGTTTTTTGGGGAATTGCACCTGTACTTTAGTTTTTGTGGTGAATTTTGTTGCTCTATTTTTTTGTGCGGACTTTTTTCAATCTAAATAACAACAGGATCATTTAATTATTTTTTTATATATACTTTGAGACTGAATACTTTACTAAATAAAGTAATTTCAGTAAAATTAACCCGTTTTTTTTTTTTTTTTTTTTTATCCTGATGCATGCTCAATAATCCAGGTAGAAAAATCTAAAAAAGTTAAATCTGGTCCTCTGGACATTAAATAAATAAATAAATAAATAAATAAAAATTTATAGAAGCGTTTCGTCTTTCATCCGAAAGGCTTCTTCAGTCTGAGCCCCTGTGAATAGTAAACAGCCATCAGTGTGCTAATGATCCATTGTTAGGCTGATGGTCCTCCTTGATCATGTGAGCAGCTGGTTTTGGTTGTCAGCAGCAAACTGGTTGATCCACTCTGAGAAGGTGCTTTTTATAAGTCTGAGCTGAATACAGCTCCTCAGACTGAAGAAGTGTTTCGGATGAAGGACGAAACGTGTCTACAATTATTTATTTATTTTTGGTATGTCCAGAGGACCAGAATTAACTTTTTTAGATTTTTTTTTTGTTTGTTTTAAAGCAACATGTTAAGTTAATTTTGTCAAATGAATAACTACGATTTCTGTTTTTTTGTTATCGTTATCGTCAGATTGCTCTGAAATATCACAATATTATATTTGAGCCATATCAACCACTCATAGTTATAAATGTTAGGATAATTTAATATTATCCTTTTAATTGCTCTTTAAATAAATATGCCACACAGGAGAGGTAGATCATTTTCTTAATCCCAGGTTTAATCTTGCAAGATGAAGCAGTTGAAATACAGGCCTCAAGATGTTTACATGGTGCACCATCTCAAGTCTGCTCAAAAAGAGCATGAGGATGTGTCTTTTTATAATGTTATCGGACACAGGCAAGGTCAGACGATTCTTACAACCTCCTTGCTTATTTGGGTGAAAGGCTCCACACTTATGTAGCACTCAGTCCAGTCATAACAACCCTTTACACAACACATTAATATGAGTTCTATAACATTTTACATTTCTCTCTTTCTTTCGGCTTTTTCCTCTTCAGGGATCGGCACAGCGAGTCATCCTCCTCCATCACACTCTGTCCTCTGAGTCTGCATCCTCTGTCCTCACTCCAATTACCTCCATGTCCTCTCGAACTGCATCCATGTATTTCCTCTTTGCATTTTTCCTGGCAGCTGCATTTCCAGCATCCTTCTACCAATATATCCACAGCCCATCCTCTGGACATGTCCAAACCATCTCAGTCTGGCCTCCCTAACTTTATCTCCCAGTTGTTCAATCTGTTCTGTAACTCTGATGATCTAATTCCTAATCTTATCCATCCTTGTCACTCGTAAGGAGACCCTCAACATCTTCATTTCTGCCGCTTCCAGTTCTTTCTCCTGTCTTTTTGTCATTGCCACTGTCTCCAGACCATACAACATAGCTGGTCTCACCACTGTTTTGTAAACTTTTACTTTGACCTTTGCTGACACCTTTTTGTCACAAATCACTCCTGAAACTTTTCTCCATCCACTCCATCCTGCCTGGTCTCTCTTTTTCACCTCTTTACCACACTCCCCATTTTCCCGGACAGTGAACCCCAAGCACTTGAAGTCCTGCACCTTTGTGACCACTGCTCCTTGTAGCCTCACTGTTCCACCAGCCTCCCTCTCATTCACACACATGTACTCTGTCTTACTACGGATGACTTTCATTCCTCTTCTTTCAAGTGCATACCTCCACCTCTAAGTTCTCTTCCACCTGTTCCCTGTTCTCACCACAGGTCACAATGTCATCTGCAAACATCGTAGTCCATGGGGGTTCCTGCCTGACCTCATCTGTTAGTCGGTCCATCACCAGAGCAAACAAGAAGGGGCTCAGAGCCAATCCATGATACAATCCCACCTCCACTTTGAAGCTATCTGTCACTTCTACAGCACATCTTACTACTGTCCTGTTGTCCTCATCCATGTCCTGTACCAGTCTAATATACTTTTTTGCCCCTCCAGATTTCTTCATGCAATACCACACCTCCTCTCTTGGCACACTGTCATGCTTTTTCTAAATCCACAAAGACACAATGGAGTTCTTTTTGGCCCTCTCTGTACTTTTCCATCAGCATTTTCAAAGCAAAGATGGCATCTGTGGTGCTCTTTCTTGGCATGAAACCATACTGCTGCTCACAGATAGTCACCTCTTGTCTAAGTCTTGCTTCCACAACTCTCTCCCAGATATTCATTGTTTGTCTCGTCAACTTAATTCCCCTGTAGTTGCTACAACGCTGTACATCACCCTTGTTTTTAAAATGGGCACCAGCACACTTCTCCATTCTTCAGGCATTTTTCTCACCCTCAAATATGCCATTGAATATTTGAGTCAAAAACCTCACTGCCATTTCTCCAAGACATTTCCAAACCTCCACTGGTATGCCATCAGGTCCAACTGCCTTCCCCTTCTTCATTGTTTTCAGAGCTTTCCGGACTTCACCCTCACTAATCTTTCCCACTTCCTGGTCCACAGTTTCTATGCCCTCTACTCGTCTTTCACGTTCATTCTCTTCATCCATTAGCTCCTCAAAGTACTCCTTCTATCTTCTCGTCACACTCTGCTCACTTATTAGAACATTACCCTTCCTATCTTTAATAAGACTAACCTGTTGCACGTCCTTTCCAGCCTGATCCCTCTGTCTTGCCAGTCATTACAAGTCCTTCTCGCCCTCTTTAGTGTCCAGTCTCCTATACAACTCATCATACACCCTCTGCTTTGCCTTAGCTACTTCCTTCTTTGCTCTACGTCCCATCTCCTTATATTTCTGTCTCCTCTCTTTAGTCCTCTCACTGTCATATTTCTTCTTGGCTAACCTTTCTTTGAACGGCGTCCTGCACTTCACTTTTCCACCACCAGGTTTCCTTATTATCTATTCTCTGTCCAGATGACACACCATGTACCTTCCTACCTGTCTCTAATTACTGTTGCTGTAGTAGCCCAGTCATTTGGAAGCTCTTTCTTACCACCCAGATCCTTTAACATTTCCTCTTTGAATTTCTCTCAACATTCTTCCTTCTCCAAGCAGTTTGACAAGACTTTCAACAAGGAAGTGGGCCAGCAATGGAGGAGGGGGCGTACCAAAGAGACCTTCTTATCACAAGCAGAACTGGTTTGTTCCACTTTGGAGTAAGCTGTTGGGTTAAATCAGTTTTGTTGTGCGTTTCCTTGACTGATGAAGCCTTCCGGATCGAAGGCGAAACGTTTCAGCACAAAAAAAAAGAAACCGTCCAGATGACCTGACTGAAAAATGTTGGATTGTATACCTGGATTATTGAGCATGGACTTTGTTTTTATTCTTCCTTCTTCATCTTCCACCATTTGGTCTTCTCTGATTTTACTCTTTTTCTCTTCTTCACAACAACAGTCATTCTAAACACAACCATCTGATGCTGTCTGGCCATGCTCTCCCCTGCCACACCCTTACAGTCCCCAAGCTCCCTCAGGTTTCCTCTTCTACACAGAATGTAGTCAACCTGCGTACTCCTTCCTCCACTTTTATAGGTCACTTTATGTTCCTTCCTCTTTTGGAAATAGGTGTTGACTACAGCCATTTCCCTTCTCTTGGCAAAATCCACCACCATCTGTCCTTCCTGGTTTCTTTCCTTGACACCAAACTAGGGACGTACGATATTGGATTTTTGGCTGATATCCAATATGCCGATATGTTAAAATTTATTCGGCCGATAACCGATTCTGATACTGATAATTTATATATGTTCCTTTGTCAGAGACATAGCCCTCTTATTTAGGCTTATTTGCTACAAAAATTGTGCAACAGCTGTAAGAGCTGGTGACATATATTCAGTAACAGTCATATGATATGCATAGCACTTTGACTTATTAAATGAAAGTGTTAAATGTTATTTATTAGCATTAGTCACCTGCAATGCTGCCTCAACTGTGGAGGCTTGTTCTGGGTTCCTAGCTGCAGTGTGGGATCCTCTGCATTCCTGTGCATGAAGTTTAATATTATAACGATAATATTGTGCGTCCCTAAGCATTACTGCCACCAGCTGGTAAGGCGAGTGATGTAAATTTTTGAACTCTGAACCAACCCTCTAGAACCATTACTGAAAGTATAATGGAAATACAACTCATACCATGCTGAACTGAGTGGAACTGTGTTGTACAGGTTTTAAAGATACTAATAGAAAACAGGCAAAAGTAGGGACAAGAACGGCCAAAGGTAGAGGACTGGCTGATGTGATGCTGAGAAGGAAGGTAGATGTTTTATGTGTTCAAAAGACCAAGTTGAAGAGCAGCAAGGCCATGGTGTGGATTTGCCAAGAGGATGGAAATGGATGAAAGCCAAAGAAAGAACAAGATTGGGGCAAATAAACAAAAAAAAGTGCATTTACATATAAACACTGTAGTTTTGATGCCTTAGACCTGGATTCAAAAAGCATTGGTTCCAAAGAAATCAAGGGTTGTTGTCATGTGTACGAATCACCACCACGGTAAAAAAGCTAGTTTCTTCAAAATCAGCCTTGTGTAATCAAAGCCTTAAAAGCTTTTATCTGCTGTAATTTGTTTTTATTCATTTCCAGAATGTTGAAATTTTGAAAGATTATAGTTTTGTGGCATGTCTTTTTTTTTTATATTTATTCAAAAAAATTAAAATGAAAGAACCTCCTCAAAGGAGTGGTGATATAATTTTGTCAAGAGGTTGTAGTAACTTTGTCCCTTTCTCCTTACAGAACTCCTACAGAAACCTGTTTTTACAAAGGAAGAGGTTTTGATGGACCAGCAACTTAGTAAGCAGGACAGGAACTACAGTCTGGTCTGGGAGGAACAGAAACCTTCACAGATCAAGGTGGAACAGGAGGAACTAGAACCTCCACAGATCAAAGAAGACCATGAAGAAACAGGACCTTCGCAAATTAAAGAGGAACAGGAAGAACTTGGCAGCAGTCAGGATGTGGAGCAGCTAGTTATCAAAGAGGAAACTGATATTTTACTGGTTACAACTAATTACGGGGTAAGTGACAGCAGTGAGTCAGAACCAAGCAGCGGCCATCTCTTCTCAGACCTGACACGACTAAAAGAAAAAACAGATTTGGAAACGGATGATGGAAAACGTTATGTTTGCAACATTTGTGGGAAAAGATTCTTCACCTTATCATTGATGAATTTTCATCTAAAGACTCATGAAAATAAGAAGGCTTATTCTTGTGAAATATGTTTCAAACTTTTTGCTCAACGTAGCAACATGCTACGTCACATGCTAACTCACCAAGACAAAAAGCCCTTTTCTTGTGAAATGTGTTTGAAAAGTTTCACTCGACATGACGTGTTTATGTGTCACATGCTAACCCACCAAGACAAAAAGCACTTTTCTTGTGAGACATGTTTTAAAACTTTCCCTCGGCATGACAGGTTGAAGCGCCACATGTTAACTCACCAAGATAAGGAGACTTATTCTTGTGAAATGTGTTTGAAAAGTTTCATTCGATATGACAGGTTGATGTGTCACATGCTAACCCACCAAGACAAGGAGTCTTATTCTTGTGAAACCTGTTTAAAAACTTTCCCTCTGCATGACATGTTGCAGCGCCACATATTAACTCACCAAGATAAGGAGACTTATTCTTGTGAAATTTGTTTGAAAAGTTTCACTCAACGGTATGGGTTGATGCGCCACATGCTAACTCACCAAGATAAAAAGCCCTTTTCTTGTGAAACGTGTCTGAAAAGTTTCACTCGGCATGATGGGTTGATGTGTCACATGCTAACTCACCAAGACAAAAAGCCCTTTTCTTGTGAGACCTGTTTAAAAACGTTCCCTCGTCATGACAGGTTGATGCGCCACATGCTAACTCACCAAGACAAGGAGACTTATTCTTGTGAAACGTGTCTGAAAAGTTTCATTCGACATGACATGTTGAAGCGCCACATATTAACTCACCAACATAAGGAGACTTATTCTTGTAAAACGTGTTTGAAAAATTTCACTCAACGGTATGGGTTGATGCGCCACATGGTAACTCACCAAGACAAAAGGCCCTTTCCTTGTGAAACGTGTCTGAAAAGTTTCACTCGACATGACAAGTTGATGCGCCACATGCTAACCCACACAGGAGAGAGACCATATCCTTGTCAGATCTGTGGGAATAGATTTGGACTAAAACATGATTTGTTAAGCCACATGAGAACTCACACAGGAGAGAGACCATTTAGTTGTAAAATTTGTCATAAAAGTTTCAGCCAAAGTGGCACATTGACTAATCATAAGAGGACCCATTTAAGTGAGAAACAACATTGCTGTGAAGAATGTGGAAAATATTTCACCCAAAAGGGGGCATTAAAGGTTCACATGAGGACTCACACAAATGAAAAGCCGTATTCCTGCAACACGTGTGGAAAAATTTTTAGATCCAGCACTGGTCTGCTCTATCACATGAGAACGCACACTGGTGAAAAACCTTATTGCTGTAAAGTTTGTGGGAAACGATTCATTCAAAGCAGCCACTTGCTGCATCATATGAGTACCCATACTGGTGAAAAACCTTATTGCTGTAAAATTTGTGGGAAAAGATTCAGTCAACGCAGCCACTTAGGCAGCCACAAGAAAAGCTGCCTCAGAACCTCCACAGAGTAAAGAGGAACAGTAGGAACCAGGACTTTTCTCCAGGTGGTAGGTCCTGGAAGCTTTCATCTTACATTGTGAGTTTGTGAGTATTTAACTACTTAATACCTTTTTTTCACATTTAACATTTAAAAATGTATAAAATCCCCTGGACGCTTGCATAGCTGCCTACTGCTCCACCTGGGTGCATCCCAGGTGCGATGGGTTAAATGCAGAGAACTAATTTAGCCATTGTATGGGAACATACAATGATGACAACACATAGCACTTTATTCTCTCATTTATCGTGGGGTTCCGTACCCTGCCCCCCACTACGATAAGTGGAGAAACCGTGACACAGCGATACAGTAGTCCAAGTTCAGTTCAAGTTCAGTAAACTTTGTCATGACATGTGCCAGGCTGCAATCACACTCATCACTTGTTACTCTCAATCTCCCTCCTTGTGTAAATAAACAATTTAAATTAAATACTGTAACATTTTAAATAAACAATCCATGCAGCATGGATTGTTTATTTAAAATGTTACAGTATTTAAATTTAAATTGTAGAGAAGAGAGGCGCAGCAGGACATCAAAGGGTTAACCCTTCATGCATCTCTGCAGCACAGAGCAGAAATGTAATTCTTGATCAGTTACACTGAAACAACTGAACATATAAGTTCTAAATAATTAAAAATAACTTTTAACACTTTTATATTTTGTGATTATGATGATTTGACAATATGACATACTTTCAGTTTTAAGTTGGAAGACAAAAGTCAATTGGTGCATCTGGACAGCAAAGGGTTCACAAAGCCGATGCAGCACTGAGCAGAAATGCAGGAAGGAGCTTCCCCCTGCACTTGTGAGCTGCACACAAGTGCAAAATCATTTAAAATGATTTATTTTAAATAAACAATCCATGGCTCGTCCATCAATCAGCCAATTGTGTCATGTCCAATGTTACTTTGAACAACCATGATAAGAGCGAGACTGAAAAACGAACCACGAAGTAGTGAGGGACTACCTGTACTGAGCTCTATCACAAACATCGGACTAATAGTTGGTAAAAAGAAATGTAGTCTTAAAAAAAAAAAAAAAAACATGAGGCTAAAACATATTCTGCATAAAGTGAGAAGGACTGTCTGTCTGCAGCAGAATAGTTTTTTCTTTAAATAATAATCTGTAACTGTTCTTTTATCTGACAGTTTCGAGAACTGGTTTATAAACTGGAGCAGTTTTTCCAGAAGGTGTAAGCTAACTTGTATCTGTAAACCTTTTTCTTTTTCAGTAATAAATAAATAAGTTGAAAAAAATAATTGATTGTAAACCTTTTGTTTAATATTTACATTTTGTCACAGGCATATCTAATCCTGGCCCTCGGGCCACTGTCTATCCTGCTTGTTTTAGAGCAGGGGTGCCCAATATGTTGATCTCAATCTACCGGTCGATTGCAACGGCATTATGGGTAGATCACAGCATTTTAAAAAAAAGATGTCAGCCTATCAACCATCCTCACTATGAAATTTGTTACTTGATTGACATACAGGGCAGCCAATCACAGCCCTAATTCTCTCAAACCCGGTCTGAGAGATTTTCGGAGAAACCCCATCCCCACTTCCCCACCCCGAAGGTGTGAAATTCTCCATGTGTGAAGTTGCACATACAGGCGGCTGCAGTCCAAAGTTTTTCTGCACTAACAACATTTTTAAAAAATGGCAGAGAGCAGAGTGATTTTTGTGCTACTCACCCTTTTTCATCATGTAGGAGCAAAACTAATAAAATCCAGGGTCCAAAAAGGGACTTTATTCACCAGTTTGGATGGTAACTGTGATCATGCAGTCGCTGCATGCACAATGAAAACAGCTGAGACTGAGGCTGCCAGATAAATTTAAAATGCCTTATTTACCACCTCCTTTTCTGTGCACATGTTCAAGAAACACAACACAAACTTCATCTTGCTCAAGATGAGAATTCTGCGATCAAGTTAAAACTCAAAGCAGTCAGCTCCTCAGACAAATGGTGTTAAATTATTATTTTATATATGAATGATTTTGTTCAGTGCCCTGAGGCGACTTCTTTTGTGACTCGGTGCTATATAACTGAACTGAATTGAATTGAATCTTAGTATATCTTTACTCAGCACATATGACAGTTTAGGTGAAAATACTATCATTTTAAATCCACAATACTATAGTTTATAATTTCTTATCTGGCAACCCGACTGACATGGAAACTACAGCATTTTTCATGTAAACCTGCTCATTTTTTGTTTATTACCCCTAATAAACATTGAAAAAACAAGTTTCCAGAGGTCGTTCTCGTGTAAACATGGCATTATAGCAGGTAGATCACTTTGACTTGGTCATTTCAAAAGTAGCTCTCGTGCTGAAAAAGTTTGGGCACCCCTGTTTTAGAGGTTTATCGACTTCAATATTGATTTGAATCAATGGTTCATTAACCCTTGTATACACATTTACATACTAATTTACTTTTGTCCGTGTTCTTATTTATTTGTTTATTTTGGTTCATTCAATAAATGTTTTGTTTTTTTCTGACAAAGTCTAATGATCCTCTACTTTTTAAAATGTTGTCAGACTTTTTTCAGATGCTCTCATACCCTCACAATATCTTTACTACACTCTCATGGCCCTGAGGGGGAAAACTGTTCGCATTAAAATACACTATAAATACAACTTTTAATCCCATATTTATCAGATCATAAAATAATGCATTTCTGTCAGTAATGTTTTTTTTTTTTTACCTCTATAACTGTATTTTAGATTTTTATATTAGCTCTTTATGTGGGGCTCTGCTTTTACATTTGAGAGCCTCTGTAAAAAATGCTCAGAGGATATTTTACTCGCCTCGAGTGTTCCATGGCTGACGGCGCCTGACTGACATTGGTTTCTTCCAAATGATGACGTCATTAGTGGGTGCACCATGCTCCTTCAGCTCGCTCGTCTATACTATAAATACAAATGAAATGTGCAATATACAAATATACAGGTGTTGGTCATAAAATTTAATATCGTGAAAAAGTTAATTTATTTCAGTAATTCCATTCAAAAAGTGAAACTTGTATATTAGATTCATTCATTACACACAGACTCAAATATTTATTTATTTTAATGTTAATTATTATAACTCAACCTCATGGATTGGATCTCCATCCATCCATTATCTTACTCACTTCTTCCTTTTTGGGTCGCAGGAGTCATTGGTGCCCATGTCCAGCTATCACTCTGTGAGAGGTAGGGCTGGGTACCTTTCTAAAAAAATCGGCATCGGTACCAGTGTTGGTACCTTCACCTCGGTGTCAGTTCCTGGACGGTTCTTTTTTCAGTACCAATTTTGTAATTACTATTAATTCTAACAAGAATAAAATTACGTTACACATTACAGTACAAATTGTGAGTTTTGTTTTTTAATGTTGGTATTTTTCTATTCAAAGCAGTTTTCTTACATAAAAACAAAAATAATTTCCAGTTCCAAGACCAGTTACAAACCATTGACACGTCAGTGTCTAATGTTCACTGCTACACACTGAGGACCTTTTCACTGAACAGTTTTTCTTCAGAAACATCAACATGTCTGTTTTCTCTAGACACAAACAAGCTGCTCCAGGCTGATGGTGTCTCCAGCAGTAGAAAATGTTCACTCTGAGGCTGTAGATGATGCTTGTTGCACACACAGAGACCTGTTTGTCAGTTTGATAGCGCTGACATATTGTCCCTCACATCCCACCAGCAGGTCACTGGATTCAATGAGGTAGGGATGATGCAGACTTCTGCACCTCTGTGTCTCTGCCTGAATCTTCTCTGTGGTTCTCTGGGGTTTAGGGCTCTGATCATCTCCCTAATTGACATGAGAACAAAACATCAACAATAACATGGTTGTGTTATTATTGCTCAAAAAACATTATCTAGACTGAGAGATAAAAGTTTAACTGGTCAACTAAACCCTTTAAAGTTTAACTTACCTACACCGTGCTGCTCCACTGTAGAAAAGACAGCAAACTTTTAACAACAAAGTTTGACTGTCCTGTGGCCCCCACCTCACTTTTCTTTTGTCCTCCTCACATCTGGGTCAGAACCTCCTGTGAGGAGAACATTAACATAAACAGTGAACATTAGTGAACTGTTTAAGCAGTTGACTGGATGGATGAGCAGTTTTACAAGCTAAGATTTATGTTACTGTCAATCTTTAGTTAGCTTCTGAGTTTAGCTAGCTACGTAGATAAAATAAATTTACACACTAATATCTTAAAGTTAGCATTACATGGATCATAATTTATTTCCCCGCGATGTACGTGTTAAGCTGCAGTTACGCTAACAAACGTAAACTCACCAGCTGAAACACACAGAGACGTCCTCGGAGTTCTTTGATGAAGAGTCCGGTCGTGGAGATAATGAATCAGGACGTTCAGGCTCTACTCACAGGCTGACTTTAATGCTGAGAGGAGGAGGAGGAGGCTAATGAACTCTTCTCTCCTCGCAGAAAAACACGGAGCAACTTTCTGCAGCACGTGTTGTCGAAGCCGTTCGACAACACGCGCTGTACACGTGAACCCGTCTGTGGGCGTCACCAGCACCATAGACATACATTACAGTATACATAGAATAGGTACGGCAGCTCTATACAGCTCTGGGTGTAATCTGGGTGTAGTCTGTTTGTCACATGTCTGGTGTTTTACCAGCCTGCGTGCTGAAACCACGTGACACATTACAGCCAATACCGAAACTTGACACCGAAAGAAGAGTGAAGTTTCAATACATACACCAGCCGGTGCAGTTCGGTCGGTGCCATAAAAGAACCTCAGTTCGATACTCAGCCCTAGTGAGAGGTGGGGGACACCCTGGACAGGTCTCCAGTCCATTACAGAGCCACACAAAGACAAACGAGACAAACAACCATCCACTCGCTTGCTCACACCTAGGGACAATTTAGAGTTACCAGTCAGTCTAACATGCAGGTTTTTGGTCTGTGTGAAGAAAACGGAGTACCTGGAGAAAACCCACATATGCACGGAGAGAACATGCGAACTCCACCCAGAAAGGCCCCTGGACCAAGGATT